TGGGGAGCTTTTAAAGGTTAAGATCCATGACCTCGTCAGGTGGGAACCCCCGCCCCCAGCAGTGCCCAGCACCCAGGAGCACATCAGTCCGGGTGAGCTGACACGTGGGAAATATTTCAGCCACCCTGTGTGTTCTGGAGAAGTCTTCCTCAAGTCTCCAGATGTGCACAGAGATCACCTGTTGAACTACAGAGTCTGATTCTAGGGACCTGGGGATTCTGCATTTCCAGCAAGCTGGGGGTGGCACTGATGTCGCCAGCCCATGAACCATACTTTTTCATTTTAATTGAAGTGTAGTTGATTTGCAATATTGTGTTAATTTCAGCTGTGCAGCAAGGCGATGCAGATATATATCAGATTCTTTTTCATTATAAGTTATTTCAAGATATTGAAGATAGTGAATACAGTTCCCTGTGCTGTGCAGTAAATGCTTGTTGTTTATCTGTTTTATATACAGTAGTGGGTCTCCCTTAATCCTGTACTCCTAATTTATCCCTCCCCCCTTCCCTTTGAATCTAAACAATAATAATACACATGAACTTATTTACAAAACAGAAACATTCACAGACATAGAAAACAAACTAAGGTTACCATGATCCATGTTTGGAAGATCAATTCTAGAGGAGAAGAAAACCACAGAAAACGTCTTTTTTTCTTTGTTCAAGCTGATTTATATTGAGGTATAATCAACAGATAACATTATGTTAGTTTCAGGTGTACAACATACTGATTCAATATGTGTATGCATGGTGGTCTAGTCAACATCTGTCACCATACATAGTTACAAAATTGTTTTTCCTGTGATGAGAATTTTTAAGATTACTTTCTTAGCATCTTTTTTTTAAAGCATGTTTTTATTGAAGTACAGTTTACAATGTTGTGTCAGTTTCTGGTGTACAGCCCAATACTTCAGTCACATGGGAACATACATAACATTCGTTCTCATATTCTTCGCCAGAAGTTACTACAAGATATTGAATATGATTCCCTGTGCTGTACAGTAGAAACTTGTTTATCTATTTTATATATATTAATTAGCATCTGCAAATCCCAGACTCCCAGTTTATCGCTTCCCACTCACCACCCCCTATAACCATAAGTTTGTTTTCTTTGTCTGTGAGTCTATTTCTGTTTTGTAAATAAGCTCCTTTGTATTTTTTTCCAATGTTTTTGAAGTTCTGTTTGGGGAAGCTGCCTCCGCGCCCCCCATCCCCCACCGCCCCCTCCCCTCCCCTCCCCAGGGTGGCCGGCTATGACAATGGCAGTGGGGTGGCTGCCCTCCCGCTCCTGCTCACCCCTGGGTCCTGGCCGCCCTCCGGGAAGGTGTGGAGGCCCCCGTTAACCGCCCCTTCTCTTCCCCCAGGGGAGGAGC